ATACAACATGCAACAATTTTATTTCTTATTTATTATTCATGCTGGAATGGTAACAGCATATATATTTATTAATAAGGGATTGGTTGGGGACTTCCTTGGCATTCCAGTGGTTAAGACTTTGCCTTCCAATGCAGCAGTACGGGTTTGATCTTTGGTTGGGCAGCTAAGATCTCACATGCCTTCTGACCATAAAAACCAAAACATAAAACAGAAGCAGTATTGTTGCAAATTCAATAAAGACTTTAAAAATGGTTCACATCAAAAAATAATAAAAGGTTGGTCATGGTGACATAGAATGTAATATTATATAACCTGTAAACTGGTAAAACTAGAATTGTCTATTGATGTGGAAAGATATCTAAGATCTAGAAGATGGGCTATACCAAGACATATTTGTGTTTTTCTTTTTCCCATTTATGTGGAGATGCTCATACTGATATCTCCTAAATCCTGAAAGATTATACCAATCTGTTAATAGTAATTTTTTTCAGCACAGTGTACTTGCTGGAGGAATTAACTTTCTCTACATTTCTTGCATTTTTGTTGTTGTTGTTAAGTAGCGCAGTCATGTCCGACTCTTTGCGACTCCGTGGACTGCCGCACACCAGGCTTCCCTGTCCATCACCAACTCCCGGAGCTTGCTCAAACTCATGCCCATTGAGTCGGTGATGCCATCCAATTGTCTCATCCTCTGTTGTCCCTTTTTCCTTTTGCCTTTAGTCTTTCTCAGCATCAGGGTCTTTTCTAGTGAGTCAGTTCTTCGCATCAGGTGTCCAAAGTATTGGAGCTTCAGCTTCAGCATCCATCAGTCTTTCCAATGAATATTCATGGTTGATTTCCTTTAGGATTGACTGGTTTGATGTCCTTGCATTCCAAAGGACTTTCAAGAGTCTTCTCCAGCACCACAGTTTGAAGGCATCAGTTCTTTGGCGCTCAGCCATTTTTATTATCCAACACTGACATCCATACATTACTACTGAAAAAAATCATAGTTTTGACTATACACGCCTTTGTTGGCAAAGTAATATCTGTGCTTTTTAATACACTGTCTAGGTTTGTCATAACTTTTCTTCCAAAGAGCAAGCATCTTTTAATTTCATGGCTGCAGTCACCATATACAGTGATTTTGGAACTCAAGAAAATAAGGTCTCTTACTGTTTCCATTGTTTCCCCATCTATTTGCTATGAAGTGATGGCATGATCTTAGTTTTAAATATGATCAGCCTTTTAAAATATGGTTATATAGGATCTGAAAAAATATTACCATTTTGAGGGAAAAACATAACAAGTGACAGAAGTGTTGAGAGTGTCACCATTTTATCTAGGTTGGATGTGTCCCTATTTTATAAGTTTCAGATGAAGAGTTAAGGTAGAACTTGTGTTTTGGGTGCCATCAAAGAAGGAGATTTTCTCCAAATTGTACATTTTCTTTCTGGTAAGAATACCTCATGATCACTATAGAAATTTAAATAAACCATGAAATGTGTAAAGAAAAGAAAAATTGGGGGAATTCTCTGGTGGTCTAGTGGTTAGAACTCTGCACTTTCAATGGGGAAGGCCCATGTTCAGTCCCTGTTGTGGAACTAAGATCACATAGTCAAAAAAAAGAAAAGAAAAGAAAAATCACTTAGCATACATTCCCAGAAATACCTACTTTTATTACCTCTAGTTATTTTGTTAAGTTACCAGTTGTTTAGTAAGTTTAGTAATATATTTTTATTTCTATGGTTGTGTCTTTCCCTACTGTCTTTTAAATCACTGGAAGTTTTTGGTTCTCCAAGTATTTCTGAGTTGTGATAGATTAAGGAAAGGTTAAGAAAACCAAGATTTCACTAGTTGATAGCATCAGTCTCTTTCAGGGCTTGTAAAGGTTATAAATGGTTTTTCCAGTAGTCATGTATGCATGTAAGAGTTGGACTATAAAGAAAGCTGAACACTGAAGAATTGATGCTTTTGAACTGTGATGTTGGAGAAGACTCTTGAGAGTCCCTTGGACTGCAAGAAGATCAAACCAGTCAATCCTAAAGGAAATCAGTCCTGAATATTCTTTGGAAGGACAGATGCTGAAGCTGAAACTCCAATCCTTTGGCCACTTGATGAGAAGAACTGACTCAATGGAAAAGACCCTGATGCTGGGAAAGATTGAAGGCAGGAGGAGAAGGGGATGACAGAGGATGAGATGGCTGGATGGCATCACCGACTNAAACTCTGGGAGTTGGTGATGGACAGGGAAGCCTGGCGTGCTGCAGTCCATGGGGTCACAAAGAGTTGGACACGACTGAGCTACTGAACTGACTGAAAGGTTCTACAGAGTATTTTGATTCAAGGCCCGTGTAATGGGAGACAGACATAAAGATTATCAGAAGTGTTTCCAAGATAGTCTTAGGGGCAAATTTAAGTGTTAAGTGATAATAACCTTTATGAATTTGCTTACATCAGTTTTGGTCACAATACTCAAGAGGTAGAGTGACTGGTTCAGCAGAAGTACTTAAATAAATATTTGTCAAATAGACAAAACGGGGTGGGGAGGCTCTGAAAACACAAAAACTGAAAGTGTAACTCGAAAATGCAGGCCAGTAAGTGAACTGAGTGCTGTGAACCATTCAAGGATGGAAATCTAATTAATTCCTAGGAAAACAAACTGATCTTGCTCTTAGTTTTGCAGACTAGAATTTATGGATAGTTTTAAGACTTGGAAGATGGCAGATAGATGATACCAAAATTAAAGTGCAGAACACGGAAGGTCTTTAGGGCTTTACTGAAATCTGCTTAATTTTATACATAATTTTGGTTTCCTAGTAAAGTAATCTGGAGAAGGAAATGGCAACTCACTCCAGTGTTCTTGCCTGAGAAATCCCATGGACAGTGGGCTGCTATCCATGGGGTTGCAAAGAGTTGACACTTAGAGACTAAGCACAATAGAGTATTCATGGTGAATGGAAGGCCTGGGATATGTTAAAGTGCTTTCCTTACTCCCTTTAAAAAAATAAAACAGGAAACTCGCCACTTTTCCCAGACTTCCGTTGATTCTGTTAGTCACTTAATATTTTTACCTCTATTTGGGCTGGCGTTTTGTTCCACATAAAAGATGAAATGTCTTTTCTTGTTACATAAATAAGAAATACATCACCTTCATTAAAGTTTTCTCTGGATTTTTAGAAATTAAATTATAACCACAAATAACCTTTTTTGTCATCAATTAAAAAATTAAGTTACAAAGGTAGTATAGAGAGTAACTTTTATTCTGGGCTTCCCAAGTGGCTCAGTGTCTGCCAAGCAGGAGATGTGGGTTCGATTCCCAGGTCAGGAAGATCCTCTGAGGAAGGAAATGGCAACCCACTCCCGTAGTTTTGCCTGGGAAATCCCATGGACAGAGGAATCTGGTGGGCTACAGTCCAGGGGTGTGCAAAGAGTTGGACTCAACTTAGGGACTGAACAACAGCGACAACAAAAACCTTTATTCTCATCCACTATTTATATGTTCTGTTTGGCTTTCTTGGTTAGCCTTTCTTTTTTTTTTTTTTATTTTTTTTTAATTTTTGCTACCCCATGGACTATATAGCCCACCAGGCTCCTCTGTCCATAGGATTTCCCAGCAAGGATACCAGAGTGGGTTGCCATTTCCTCCTCCATTGGTTAGCCTTTCTTAATAGTCATACTTTTTTTTTTTAATCATCCAGATGGAGTACTTGTGTTAACAACAAAAACAGCAGAAAGTATTGAAAAAGTTAGTTTTCTTTGGAAATGGTACATAAGAATGAGTTAGGAAGTTATTTAGTGTCTGGAGTGTTTCTTTCAGCTCCAACTGACTCAAATTTCTTTCTAAAAAAAAAATGGTTGTTCCACTCTAAGACTCTGGTGAAAATAATCTTTACCTCATTGACTCCTTTTCATCTATATTAAATTTAAATCTTTTTGTTTATTTTTAAACTCTGACACCCAAGCCTGCTTATGTAATGCTTGCGAACTCTGCTGTTTATGCAAAGATACACTGACTCTAGGGCAGAGGGTGAGATGGGAACCCAGAACCGCACAGAAGTCAAAGCAGCCTATTTAGTGGATTCCTTGAGAATTAGGTTGGAAGAGGAAAGAAGTGGTGAGCAGCTACAAGAAAGACACCCAGAGTGAATGAAATACAGCCAGGCAGTGGAGGCAGGTCGGCAGATGGGAAAGCGTAGATGTGGTGTTGGAAATCTTGTTATAGCCTACCTTTTATGTGGACTCTGAACGTGATCCTTCAACAGACAAACAAAAGATCGTTGAAGACCTGTTTTTCATGAAGTACCTTGTGTGGACACTCAATACACATTATTGCCCATGTTGATGACACTTTCCTTGACAAGCTGGGTAATATAGTCCTATTAGACAGATGAAGAAATTGAGGTTTAAGGGAATTAAGTAAGACTTCCCTGGTAGCTCAGGCAGTAAAGCTTTCCACCTACAGTGCGGGAGATCTGGGAATTAAGTAGCTTGCCCGAGATCACATAGCTAGTAAAGGGTGGGATAAAACTGAAGCCAGATGTGTCTCTCTAGCTGGACTGATTTCAGAATATATATATATTTTTTTAAATTTCAGAATATATTCTTTAGTACCAGTGCATTTACAATTGGTGGTAACTCATGAGGGTTGCTAATCCTTAAATTCAGGGATTCTGTTCTGAGTAGAGTTGTTACTGCTGCTACCAAAAGAGGGATTTTTCTGGGCTCTGGAAGTCTAGCACCTTGAACATCCTGGTGTTTGCATCTTTGGAAATACCTTTCTTCCCCTTCAGGTCTCAGTTCCACCCTTTCCAGGTGAATCACCTTGGGCAAGGGCTGGGGGAGGTTTATGAGGAGGTAGAGGGTTGCCTTTTAAGCTTCATTGTCCTCATTAGTGAATAGGGCTCAACAGTTTTTTCTGAGGATTAAATTAACTTTGTGTGTGTATTTAAGTATACAATTCCTACAAATTGGTTACAGAGAGATATGAATGTTACAATGAAACATTTCTCCCCTTGTAGGTCTTCTGGAATTTTCTGTGGGGAAATTTAGATACCTGGAGCTCAAGAAGCCCTTTCCAGAGGAAGCTATTTTGCGTCATATTTCCAGCAATGTTACTTTTGTTATTTTCCAAATACACTCACAGTATCAGAATACAACAATTTCTTTCTCTGAGGTAAGTACAGAGTTACTTCCATAAAAACTGTTTCCACAATTTGGTATCTTGTATTTAGTGTGAGCATTAGAAATTAATGCCTCTTTTTGTGTTAAATTTTTAAAAGATCAAGACTGAGTCCTGTCAAGTTAGTAGTTTAGGCTGGCTGGGAGGTGAATATCTAAGGACTTTCTTGAGTGGTGACCTCTGACCTAAAAGACGAGTGATGCTGCCGAGTTTGGGGGGAGGGCGGCTTGTACCAAATGTCTCCTGCCTGCAGTTAGGCTTTCCTCATACTTCCTACTTTTTCTTTTTCTTACCCTACTGAGTCCTTAGTGATTTTTACCTGAGAATACATTTCAATGGATTTCTGTGGTCGTTCAGCCATTTAGTGTTGAAGTTTACTAAGACGCCCAATAGGATCAGGTTTATTCTTTAGAGTTTCATCGAAATAAAAGAATTCTAACTCTCGGTTTAACCAGAGCAGTGCTGGGCTCCCAGCAGCATTTGAGACCCTCTTACAGAGGTCCTCACTAAACCCCTGAAACTTAACCTCATCTCTGGGAAGTTTTCAAATATCCTGAATCAGCTGAAGCCATTAAGGCTTTGCCATTTCTGTTACCCTTTACAGATCTACTTATTTTTAGTCCATATGACCCCTTAGACTAATACATGAATTTCACTCTCTATGAAGTTGTGCTGCATTTTTATTTGTCCTCAGGCCACCTTCTGGCTTCCCTTGTAGCTCAGCTGGTAAAGAATCCGCCTGCAATGCAGGAGACCCTGGTTCAATTCCTGGGTTGGGAAGATCCCCTGAAGGAGGGTATGGCAACCCACTCCATTATTCTTGCNAGTGGAAGGGTTTGATCGAGGAAAAGAGGAAAGAATAAATTATCCTAATTGAAGATATAATAGTGTGTATGACCCATACATTGATTTTGCGAGAGGTCTTTGCAGCCAGAGCAGAAATCAAACCTTGTTGAATTTCATAACTTTCTTAGAAGGAAAAAACATACTCATTCTTCAAGGGGAAGCCGATTCTTTTTCTGGCACTAAATTCAAAGGGAAACTTTCTATTCAGGCACTTACCTAGGAGACATAGTAAAATGGCACATAGGTGATTTCCTTCTTCATAACATCACAGCAAAGACAACATTTGAAGGAAGAGATAGGGTGGAGAAAAAAATGCAGTTATATTTATTGCATGCCTGCTGTGTGCTAGGCCAGTGATCCTTGAGCTCCTGGGGCCAAAGACTTGGTGTCTGCTGAAATCATGGACTCTCTACCTGGCAGAATGTATGACTACATCTGTATAATTTCATGGGGGTCTCTGGAAATGCATTGAGCCTCCTAGTTAGGACCCCTTGCATTTGGTTTTTCCATGTAGTTAATTTAATTCTTATAACAGTTTGTCCAAGTAGTCCTAATGTTTATTTTTACTTTTGAGGAGATGGAGGTTAGGTGACGGGGTTCCTGCATGACTGATGTGACAAAATTGGCCTGGATGAGCAGCATCTTGGGTCTCAGTTTTCATGCAGAAAGGATCTTAGTTATCTTTAATGATAATCATGTTCCTTTCTTGGGCTGCCTTTAATCTCACTATATTTATACTGCTGAGAAGATGATAACTAGAACTGCATATAATTCTAGAAGGGAGTGGTCTGCATGAAGAGAGCTGTTTCTGTTGTAACGTCCTGATGACATGTGACACCTTGGAGTTTTGGGGTCATCTTGGCAGTGAGTTCTTTGAAACTTTTGACCCTTAAGTTCCTTAGTCATTCTCTCATGCTTGTCAAACTGAAACCCACATAGCACTTTTTTCTTCCCGTTTTCTTCTTGTTCAGTTGCTCAGTCGTGTCTGACTCTTTGCGACCCCGTGGACTGCAGCCCACCAGGCTTCCCTGCCATTCACTATCTGCCGAAATTTCTCAAACTCATGTCCATGGAGTTGGTGATGTCATCCAACCATCTCATCCTCTGTCGCCCCCTTCTCCTCTTGCCCTCAGTCTTTCCCAGCATCAGGGTCTTTTCCTTAACTTTAAGAAAACACTCTGAATCTACTACCTCTCAACTTTAGTAGTTTGTTATTCAAAAAGCTTTCCCAGCAGATGGGGGAGGGGATGAGAGAGTATGGGGGTGTGAGGAAGAGTAAGCTGCCGCTGCTGCTAAGTTGCTTCAGTCATGTCGGACTCTGTGCGACCCCATGGACTGCAGCCCACCAGCCTCCTCCATCCATAGGATTTTCCAGGCAAGAGTACTGGAGTGGGATGCCATTTCCTTCTCCTGAGGAGGAGTAAGAACAGGGCACAAAGAAGATGATCTCTGTGTTCACTGCCCTGGTCTTGATGATGGTTTCCCAAGTGCCTGCATTTATCAAAACTTATATTGGTATACTTTATGTGTGATTTATAATACGTAAATTATAACTCTGTTTTTTAAAAAACTTTTCAAGGACCGACCGAACTATTTGGGGGCAGAGCTTCTATATTTTGTCTCGGTAGTGGTGAAGTTAATTTGTATATCGGGACCACAAATGGAGGCCACCCTAAGTGACTTGGCCCACGTCACAAATCTAAACCTAAGACTGCACTTACAGGGAATGCCTGTCAAGGAAACCTAACTTACACTGATCACAATCCTCCAGCTCAGCTTAACCAGCTCACTTTACCTTAGAAAATAGGACTTGCTCGTCTTCTGACTAAATCCCAACCTCCTAACCCAGCTTGTTCTTCTAATGCTCTAAAAAGCTAGTTCATGCTCCATATCCCTTGGGAAGCACTCTCTACATCTAGTGAGGCACTGTCCTCCGCCAATCCATCAGTGGTGTTGTGTTGAATAAAGGACATCAGACTTGTACTGAACTGTTTTAGTTTTGTCATTTCCATGGAAGTCCTTAACCCAGTAGTCTTAGTACTTGAAATGCGTGCTAAGTCAATTCAGTCTTATCTGACTCTTTCTGACCCCATGGACTGTAGCCCACTAGGCTCTTCTGTCCATGGAATTCTCCAGGCAAGAATACTGGAGTGGGTTGCCATCCCTTCCTCCAGGGGATCCTCCCGAACCAGGGATCGAACCCTCATCTCTTATGTCTCCTGCATTGGCTGGCAAGTTTTTACTGCTAGCAACACCTGCGAAGCCAAGTACTTGACATAGTAAATCCTCACTGAAGGGACTGAAAAGCTTGGGAATGTTATTGTGTATCTGCTATTTCTGATCAAAGAGTGTATATTTTAAATAATTCCTCCATGTATCTCTGTGGGCACATGCACATAGAGGTGAAAGTAATTCTTTAATCAACTATTTGGTTTGGAGAAGCTTTGGAATAGGGCATGCACTAGATTCACTGTGGCATTGAAACACTTTGTTCAACTGCTGATTTGCAGTGACCCTTCTTTCCTTGTTGCAGGCTCTCCTTCCTAATGCCTCAGGGACGGGCACTGACAAAGGACTGGTTTCCATTCTTAGACCAGAGCAGAGTATGTGCACTTGGCACTTGGAGACATTCGACCCTGAGCCTGTCCAAAATGTGGCCATTCCACTGTCCTACTCGGAAAGCGGTAACCTTTCTATCAACTCCTTATTACTGTCCAGAATGCAGGACTTGTGGGTGAGAATTTAGAGATAACTATAATCTTATTAAAAGTGTTTGCTATAAGTATAGTACTTTGAATTGGAAAGGTTTTAACAGCGGGGGGAGTCAGAGAATTAGCATGATGAGTGAAAGCCCAGAAAGGGACTAGGACTAGAAGAACACTTGTATTCATTTGGAAGACACTGGAGGAGCCCTTGGAGAAGCTGTAACTGAAAGTCATGTCAAGAGGAGGGGTCGATTCATGTTGATGTATGGCCGGGACCAATACAATATTGTAAAGCAATTATCCTTCCATTGAAAATAAATTAAAAAAAAAAAAGGCAAGACATGATCCTCACACATTAGTTGATCGTTCTAGGCAGAGGAAGGAGAAGGGAGAAGAATGGGGTATTTGGAGAATGGTGGACAGTGGGTGTGGCTGGAGCCAGAGTGTGAAGGTCCTGATATATAATGTGAGGTCTGCACTCTTTACTGAGGCAGCGTGGAGACTTGAAGCAGAGGGATGACTTGATGCCTTTCCTCTCTTCGAAGGTTAACCCTAGAAGCAGTGTGGGGAGTGGATTGGAGGAGGCATAGCGGGGTCAAGACAGCATGACTTTCAGGACTCAAAATGAGAAAAGAAGGTTTGAACAGAGGCCCTGAGAAGGGGAAGGAGGACGGGCTGGATTTGAGAAATTTGGAATGTGGAATTACAAGATACAATGACCAGTGGTTATGGATTGTTACAAGTGGGGAGCACAGACTTCCCATTTGGGCAGCTGGGAGATGATCAGAATAGTGATCAGGTGGGGTGTTTGTGGTGCTGGATGTTCTAGGTGGTTGGGATGGGGTTAGATGGTGACTTCAGTTTGGCACATTGAATCTGAGACACTTGTAGGATATCTGGATGAACTTGCACAGTAGGCAGCCGAAAATAAGAGCCTAGGGTGGAGGAGTCGGGTTACATATCCAACTGAACAGCTGAATAGCTGCTAGTAAAGTCATGGAAGTAAGTGAGGTCATCCAGGCATGAACTGAGAGATTTAGGGATGAAAATTATAGCAAATAATTTCCTAGTGCCTGCCACAGTTTCTGGGGAGGATGTTAACTGCTAAAGAATAATTAGAAGACTAAGGAGTGGATAGACAGAAGAGAGACTGGACACCAGCATTATAAGAAGTGGTAAATAGGACTTTGCAGAGAGGTCAAGAGAGTGACTGAAAACATCCTTATGGTGGCACAAGCCAGAGTCAGTGGTGGCCTTTAATGAGAGTCATTTTAGTGACACCATGAGGATAAAAACCAGATCATAGTGATTGAGGAGTGAAGGCGAGAGGAGGAGATTTACATTCTCTTAAAGTTTGGTGGTAAAGGGAAAGAGAGGTTGCAATACCTAGGAAAAGAGGTAGAATTCCAAAAAGTGATGAGAGTTGAAAAAAACAATTATATGTAGCCAAAGGGTAATTACTTGATTTAAAAAATGATAGATGTCAAGCTTTCATCAAGGTCAGTGTACGAAGAAAATTAGTGAGAGTGGAGTGTCAGTTACAGTACACATGCTTTTCTCGGGTGTGGTAAATGTTTGTAAATACAGGAGAAGAAGAGTGTGAAAGAAGAACATAGAATTCCAAGGAGGAGTCCGCTGTGAAGCAGTGTGCACAGGGTGTCTCCGGAGCTGCAGAATTCCAGCAGTTTATGGAAATTAAGAACCAGCTGTGGGAACGATTGAATGAGTTTATGAAGCTGAGATCTTAAAATACTTTAAACTGGTTTACCTTCTTGTGTCTTAACTTCTCCACTTGAGCCCACCATACCCAGTTCTTTGCATGGAATTGAACTAATGTCAAGGCACTTCTTGAAGTTTTGTCTTGGTTAAAGGTTATGAATAGGATTCCTAATAAGAGCTGTTTTGACCATATTATGATTGTAAATTAAATACCCCAAGGGGATTCCCTGGTGGTGTTAGTGGTAAAGAACCTGCCTACCAATGCAGGAGATGTGGGTTTGATCTCTGGGCTGGGAAGATCCCTTGAAGGAGGGCATGGCAACCCACTCCAATATTCTTGCCTGGAGAATGCCATGGACAGAGGAGCCAGGTGGGCTATGGTCCACAGGGTCACAAAGAGTCAGACACAACTGAAGTGGCTTAGCATGCAGGCATGCAGATACCCCAAATTTATTTTGTGTTTAATTGTGCACATGCTATGTCTAATACATGATCCTGGGGTTCTTGAGATCTTTTATTTTTTCCTCTTTTATGTATACACAGACTCTTCCAGCGAGGATGAGAGGTTGACACCATCTTTCTCCCTGTTGAAAGAGTTAAGTGAAAAGTGGACACCCCTTTTCTATTTACCAGGATCTAATGAAAACTGCTCAGAATCTAAAGAAAATATGTTTAGGAAATGCACGCATTCAACATTTGGCATATAATTTTTGGGTGTTCACGGAGCTCCTGAAACCCATTCTTGGACCCCAGCTTCAGAATTGCTGTCTCTTCTGATGTTTTCAACTCTAGAGCAGAGGTTGGCAAACTGCAGAGCGCAAGGCAAAGCCAGCTCACGGACTGTTTTGTGCATGAAGTCTTATTAGAACACAGCCATTCACTTACATATCATCTGTGGTTGCTTTCCTGCCACGGGGCAGCTGCCACAGAGACCAGAGAGTCTGAACAGCTTCTAAAATATTTACTATCTGGCCCTGTACAGAAAAGGTCTTCCACAGCCCATCACCTCATATAACTTTACCCTCAGTCCATGAGGTAGGACAAAGCTAGAAGCTGTCCTCTGAACTTCTATGTTGGGTGTTCTTGAAAGAGTGGGGTTCTGTTTTTCTGAGTATGCTTTGACTGTATCAGAATTCTAAGTAACTTCCTGGTTTCCCATCTAGATCCTATCCCCGGTGGCTGTAATTTGGAGTTTGATGTAGATATCGATCCAAACATTTACTTGGAGTATAATTTCTTTGAAACAACTATCAAATTTGCTCCAGCAAACCTAGGCTATGCGAGGTATGTCTCCCAACTCCCAAAACTCTTTTTAGGATAAGCGTGACTCACTGTTGTGTAGACTGAGTAAATTCTCTCAAAATCCATAGTTCTCCTTAGCAAAGTTGAACTGCTTATTTTTTTTTCCAAATAGAAGTAATTTAAGCTTTTTTATTAATACTTAAGGTGTCATTTACAGTTAGTATTGTTTCCCTCCATTCTTATGAAGAGCCAAATGTTGTCTTTATTAGGCACTTAGAAGTACGTCTTAGTTTTTGTAAAGAATTTTAAATATAGAAAGCATTTTGGGGACTTCCCTGGTGGTCCTGTGGCTAAGACTCCGTTCTCCCAATGCGGGAGGCCTGGAATCCATAGTTCTCCTTAGCAAAGTTGAGCTGCCTATTTTTTTTTCCAAATAGAAGTAATTTAAGCTTTGTTATTAATACTTAAGGTGTCATTTACAGTTAGTATTGTTTCCCTCCATTCTTATGAAGAGCCAAATGTTGTCTTTATTAGGCGCTTAGAAGTACGTCTTAGTTTTTGTAAAGAATTTTAAATATAGAAAACATTTTGGGGACTTCCCTGGTGGTCCCGTGGCTAAGACTCCACTCTCCCAATGCGGGAGGCCTGGGTTCGATCCCTGTTCAGGGAACTAGACCCACATGCCTCAACTAAGAGTTCACATGCTACAACCAGATATCCTATGTGCGGCAACAAAAACCCAATGTAGCCAAATAAATAAATATTTTTAAAAAGAAAGCATTCTGTAGCTGTGAAACATTCCTATGTTTGTAAGGATTTTATTGTTTTAATTAAAACTCTGCCCTAATTTCTACTTTAATAGTAATGATAGGTAACATTTGAACACTCTCTGTGTATCATTCACAGTGCTACTGAATACTCTATGTTCTTTGTCATTTAATCCTTAGAATTTTATGAAGAAGGGGCTGTTGTTCTTATTTTACAGAGTGGTGCCTAAGGGTTGTTGAGATTAAGTGACTTGCCCACATACACACGGCCAACAAGTAGCTAAGCTGGCAGTTGATTCAACTTGACTGATACTCATATCTGGTTAATTAACCATACATACCGCTTCACTTTCCTTAGTGATGCCAAACTGGGAATCGCTGTTGCAGAAGTTTGAAGTTTTGATTCCCATTTACATTAGTAGATGAGATCTGTAGCACGAGAGATTGATGCTCAGCTTTGCTGGTTAATTTTAGAGGCGCAGATCCTCCATCATGTGACGTCAAGACAGACCTAGACTCCAGGTGGAGGTTGCAGTATGACGTCTATCAGTATTTTCTGCCCGAGAACGACCTCACTGAAGAGGTGTTGCTGAGACATCTGCAGAGGATGGCCGAGGTGCCTCAGGTGCGGGCCAATGCTGTCAAGGTAAGTCTGATACCTGTAACTCCTGTAGCCAGACTGTGACCCCTTTGTAAGAGCTGAGAAGGGGAGAAGCTATCAGGAGCTTATTATTATTACTATGTTTACTGTTTTCTTGGTCTTTCTAGGATTCTCATTTTATCCTCTTTGATTTCATTGTCATCTTGGGAGTCGATGCCAGTGATATCCCAGAGTAACACTGATTTTTGAGGAGATGCATGTAAATATTGTTATGTTTTGTTTGTTATGTTTTGTTGCAGCCACATGTTTTGTTGTGTTTCAAGGAAACACAAATTGTGGCTAGTTATCTTGAGCTATGGGTGGAGTGGGTGGTCATTTTCTATGTACTCCCATAACTATTAGATTAAAAAAATTGGGAAATGTAACGTGTATACTGTTTCGAGAAAAAATAATGGGAAACTATTTAAAGATATATGCATTATTTTTACTATTTAAATGCAAGTACAAAATTTGTAACTTGCAGCAAAAATTTTCTCTGAGCTTTTGAACCCCTGAAAACTCTTGCTACTCCTCAAGTGTGGGGGTACAGGCTGGTAGCACTGGTATCACATGGGAATTTGTTAGAGTCACAGACTCTTAGGCTCCACCCCAGATCTACAGCATCAGCATCTGTATTTTACGATCCCCAGGTGATTCCTCTGTACATTAAAGTTTGAGACTCATGCTCTCGATCATTTTTGTAGAGGGCAGGATTTTGTCTTTGTCTTAAAAGGTACCTGATATCAGTCTGATAAACAAGGACATCTGTCAGTCTGGTGGTTGGTGAGGAGCATTTTTCCAGACTGTTACGATCTTCCCAGAAAGTTGCAGACTACCAGAATATATAGAAAGAAACTATTGAAATAGGGCAGCTGTGGGCCTTCCCTGGTGATCCAGTGGCTAAGACTCTGTGCTTCTGATGCAGGGGGTCAGGGTTTGATCCCTGGTCAGGGAACTAGATCCCATGTGCTGCAACTAAAGATTCTGCGTGCTGCAACAAAGAATGAAGATCCTGGATGTCGCAACTAACACTAGCACAGCCAATGTAATTAATTAATTTAATTTAAAAAATTATGATTATTCACAAATTAGGAGCTCAATTCGAAAAGTTTGCCTTTGTACATAGGAAATTTCAAAGACCACTTTTAGTCTCATGAAGAATATAAAAATTCATATAACAGTCTTTTTAGGTTACTTTTTTAAATTTTAGGCTGTATTGCACGGCTTAGCGCAGTACTAAGTTCTTAGTTCCCCAACCAGATCAAATCCAGACTCTTGGCAGTGAGAACCCAGAGTCCTAACCACTGGATTGCCAGGGAATTCCCTAGGTTACTTTTTAACTTTGGTTAAGAGTTAGAACCTTGTGTGCCCGAATTCAAGGAAACACAAATTGAGGACATGACAAAAAGAATGTGGAGCCTATTTGAAGAGTCTCACCCTGACCAACTGTGGGCAATTTGATCATCAAAAAGAACATGATCAATTAAGGCTTGAATAAAGAAGAACATCTTTAGTCCATCCTGATACTGAAAAAAAGAAAAAGGAAAATTCCTCAGTTGCTACTTACCACTGGAGCAACTTACATAAAATTACTCTGAAAATTGATAAAAGGGAAGGAATTTACCTTTAATGAAAGAAGGATGTGAATTCACCCTCCATTGATAAGAGAAAGCTCTCCTTCATTTTTTTAGTATTTACTTATTTATTTTGGTTGTGTGGGGTCTCTGTGGCTGCACGCAGACAGACTTTCTCTAGTTGTGGTGAGTGGAGGCTTCTCTGTAGTTGCGGTGTGTGGGCTTCTCATTGCGCTGGTTTCTCTTGTTGTGGAGCACAGGCTCGAGGATGCATGGGCTCAGTAGTTGCAATTCACAGGCTCAGTTGCCCCGTGACATGTGGGATCTTCATGGACCAGGTATCAAATCACTGTCCTTTGCATTGCAAGGTGAATTCTTAACCACCTGGGAAGCCTCAGAAAGCTCTTCTTTAAGAAGAATGCCAGCTAGGGACTGCAGAAGAATAATAGAATTAGAAAATCACCATTTTATGACCCTTAATGAAATAATTCAGGCAAGGATCTTCAGGTAAAAGAGTGTTAGGGGGCAGGATAATCCCAAGATGCCTAAATAGCACCCTGAGGTTAATTCTAATTAGAGAGGGAAAACTACTTTCAGAATGGAGTGATTCGATGGTCTCTACCTTATCTGTGTGGTCAAAGTTAATTTTGCTGATGAACCTGCATTATGTGCTTAACTGTGAACCTGCATTCTCTGCTTAAAGCAATGTAGGCTGACTTTACCACCGTCACTTATGGAATATTCTGGCGAAACAGGTTCAACTTGATTTCCTGTTTATAGGAGTTTCTGTTTACAAGAAATCCATGGGATGAAAGTACAAGTTAGACACCCTGAGTACAATCTGATAAATTCAGATTGAAGAATAAGCTGTAAAATAACTTCCTTCATCTTTCAAAGGTGGGAGAAAGATGGTTCTAGATTACAGAGATTGGAGATAAACATATGGAACTTGAATGGATCTTGGTTAAGGGGGAGAAAACTATAAAAGACATTTGGGGAAATTCGAATATGGACTGTGTATTAGATAATAAGAAATTATTCATTTTCTTAGGTGAGCTAAGGTATTGTAGGCACGTTGGAGAACATCCTTGTACTTGCTGTTCAAAGTGTGGTGGGTGAATGCATAGCATTGCGACACCTGAGAGTTTCTTAGAAAAGTAGAACCTCAGGCACTTCCTCTGACCAGCAGAATCAGAAGCTGCCGTGATTCATAGGCCATTAAGTTCGAGAAGCACTGTGTTAGGACATGCACACTGAAGTATTTAGGAGTGAAATGTCATGATATCTGTCACTTATTAAAAAATATATATATATATATGGGAAAGGAGGGAGAAAGAGGGAAGGACAGAAAAGCAAATGTGCTAAAATAATAACAACTGTTGAATCTAAGTGATTGTATATAACTTACTCATTGTGTTATTCTGTCAACAGTTCTCTCAGGTTGAATGTCTCATAATACCAACTTGGGAGAGTAGAAGCTAATGTTAACAGCATTCTGTTGGGCGAGACAAGTCCTTTCCCCAGAAAACATATTTTTGAAGGCTAAGCACTATATTTAAACAGTAGAAGTTTTCTAAGAAGCTTCTAATTATTCACTCTTGAAACTCTTAATATTTAGTTTTCCCTCTTCTGTTAGTAGGAACCTATCTGTCTGTGAGGGCTAAGTGGAGCTTTTGTCTTTATTACATGTATCCCCTATCTAAATGAAACTAGAACACCTCCTAACACCATACATGAAAATAAACTCAAAATGGATTAAAGACTTAAATGTAAGGCCAGAAACTCTAAAGCTCTTAGAGGAAAACACAGGCAGTACACCCCTTGACATAAATCAAAGCAAGATCCTCTATGACCCACCTCCTAAAGTAATGGAAATAAAAAAAATAAATGGGACCTCATTAAACCTAAAAGCTTTTGCAGAGCAAAGGAGACTATAAACAAGGTGAAAAGACAACCCTCGGAATGGAAGAAAATAATAGCAAATGAAATAACTGACAATTAATCTCCAAAATATATAAGCAGCTCATGCAGCTCAATACCAGAAAAACAGACAACCCAATCAAAAAGAGAGCAGAAGAGCTAAACAGATATTTCTCCAAAGAGGACTTGCAGATGGCTAATAAACACAGGAAAACATGCTCAACATCTCTCATTATTAGAGAAATACAGATCAAAACTACAATGAGATCTCATGAGATATCACCTTACACTGGCCTGGATGGCAATCATCAAAAAATTTACAAACAATAGATGCTGGAGAGCATGTGGAGAAAAGGGAACCCTTTTGCATTGTTGGTGGGAATATAAATTGATATAGCTCACCATATAACCCAACAATCCCACTACTGAGCATGTGCTCTGAGAAAACCAGAATTAAAAAAAGACACATGTACCCCAGTGCTCATTGCAGCCCTATTTACGATAGCTAGGACGTGAGTCAGTGCTAATGAGGTGGATGAACACCTATTACACAGAGTGTAAGTCAGTCAGAAAAAGAAAAACAAATATTGTGTGTTAATGCATAGATACGGAATCTAGAGAGATGGTACTGAATAGACCTATCTGCAGGGCAGCAGTGGAGATGCAGATATAGAAAACAGACGTGTGGACACAGTGGAGAAAGGAGAAGGTGGGACGACGGAGTGGGAGAGTGGCATTAAAACATATACATTACCATATGTAAAATAGATAGCTAGGGAGACTTGGTGTGTGATGCAGGGAGCTCAACCTTGTTCTCTGTGGCAACCTAAAGGGATGGGAGGTGGGAAGGAGTTTCAGAAACAGGGGACATGTGTACAACTATGGCTGATTCATGTTAATGTATGGCAGAAACCATCACAGTATTATGAAACAATTATCCTCCAATTAAAAATAAATAAAAATTTTTAAAAAACAGCCTTTAAAAGGGAACTTTTGAAGTGAAGGACTACAGGATAACACGGCTATATGTAATTTTTTCTTATTTCAGAGCCTGTTAGACAAAAGTAAGCGGGCACTGTCTGTGAGATATTAACCCCCACGACCTATGTTGGCTCTGGCTCACAGCGATCATTAGTTGGACCCTCCCTCTGTGCGGAGTATTGACAGGAGACTAGTGAGCAGGATGTATAAGGTTCCTGCCCTTACATCTTTTACAGTCTAGCAGATGGGAAAAATTCTTTTACTTTGTCCTAACTAGCACATTTTACTTAATCCTTATATCACATTTTACTTAAATCATTAACATATGCAATCTCTAGATGTTTTTGTGTAAGAGCTTGATCATGTCAGCACGAACAGATTGTGTAGAGTAATCTTTTGACAAACCCAAATGAGTTGGCAAACTATTACATATAGGATGGATAGATAACAAATTGCTATGTATAGCAAGTGCATGCCTGCTAAGTCACTTCAGTCTTGTCCAGCTCTGCGACCCTATGGACTGTAGCTCGCCAGGCTTCTCTGTCTCTGGGGATTCTCCAGGCAAGAATACTGGAGAGGGTTGCCATGCCCTCCTCCAGGGGACCTTCCCAACCCAGGGATCGAACCAGTATCTCTTAAGTCTCCTGCATTGGCAGGTGAGTTCTTTACCACTAGCACCACCTGGGAAGCCCAAGGTATAGCACAGGGAACTATATTCAGTATCCTGTGATAAACCAGAATAGAAAAGAATATGAAAAAAATAAGTGTGTGTATAACAGAGTCACTTTGCTATATAGCAGAAATTAAGACAACATTGTAAATCATCTATACTTCAATACATTAAAAAAAGTCAAATGGGCTGATATAGGTTTTAAACAAGAATGATGCTTTTGTATTAGAATTTAATAGCACATGTAGGTGGGGTTATAATAGAAAAGCTTGTGGGGTTTTATTTTTTTAACTTAAACACTAATCATGCATTATTTTTGATTTCAGGTGGTCACCCTAACCGCTGACGATAAGACAAGTGTTTCCTTCTCCTCCCTCCGGGGACAGGGTGTCATTTACAATGTCATCGTTCGGGATCCACTTCTAAACACGTCCACGGCTTACGTGCCCACTCACACGTATGCTTGCAGCTTTGAAGCTGAGGAGGGTAGTTGTTCTTCCCTTGGTGAGTATGTAGATTTCAACTGTGAACTTTCTTCTTTGGCCATGAAGAGCTTTATCAACTAGAAAAGAACTTCAGGATATTTACAAGTGCTTTTGTCTTGTTTATTCATTCATGCACTAAGCACCCGCCTCCCGAGCACCTGGGTTACTCTGCTCTCTGTTCTAGGCACTGGGATATAGCAGTGAACAAAATGGACAAAATACCTGCCCTCCTGGAGCCTGCATTTTAGTGGTGGGGGGAACGAGGCAGACAAAAGACATTTGTAAAATACACAGTACCTAAGATAAGTGATGAGAGCTGAGGAGCAAGAATTAAGTAGGTAGGGGAGATAACCATGGGGGGTGAGAGAATTTGAGAAACTAGGGAAGCCCTTGCTGAGCTGGTAGCATTAGAGGAGACCCGTGGCAAGGCAAGGAGCCACGCCCGTGTCTGGGGTGGGGAGTGGGTTGCCAGGCCGAGGAGACAGCCAGCACAGAGCCCTCAACTGGGGCCTGCCTGGTGTGGCTGCAAGAGCAGGCAGCGTCTCAGGTCCTCCTTTGAGCTATAGCGTTTATTCTGAGTGCAGTGAAAAGGCATTGGAGGGCTTGAGCAAATAATACTATGATCTGTCTTGTATTTTAATGGGATCACTCTGGTGCTCTTCTGGAGAAAAATCAGGGGCAAGAGCACAAATCGGGAGATTGATGAGGAGGCCGTCATAGTGTCCAGGAGAGAGAGGACAGCGGCACTCGGGGTGTTGTAACATCATCCTGTGTGTGTGTATTTAGCATTTTATTCTGAAACAGTTTCACAGAAAAGATGTGAAAATAATTCAAAGAATTCTGTATAATCTTCACCAACATTCCTCAAATGTTAGTTAACATATTGTGCTGTTTGCTTTTCACTCTTTATCTGGACATACACGCATATCTAGATTTTTTTCCCCCCTGAAGCATTTGAGAGTAAGTTACAGACATAATGACCCTTTTGCCCTAAAATATTTCTGTTCGCTTCCTTATATAGCCATAGTGACATTATCAAATCACAAAATGAACACTGATATACTACTGTTACTTAATCTATAGATGTTATCAAATTTCATTGTTTGTTCCACTAATGTCCTGTATAACCAAAGGAAAAAATTTTTTTCTGGTCTGGGGTCCACTTCAGTATCACATGGTGCTTTATCTTCTTTAATCTGGAATGATTTCTTAGTCTGTTTTTGTCTTTCAAAAAACTTTACCTTTTTGAAGAGTACAGGTTAGTATTTATTTTGGTAGAAAGTCCTCAATTTGGGTTTATCTGGTTTCCTCCTAACTAAGTTCAGATGATGCATTTTTGGCAGGAATACAAAACGTGATGGAGTGTCATTCTCTGCAGACACCTGATGTCTGTCTGTTCCATTCCTGGTGGTCATAATCCTGAGTACTTGGTTAGGGGTGTCTGCCAGGTTTATCCACTGAGAAATAACTATTTTTCCCTTTAAATATCTTTTGGGGAGATACTTTACTTTGAATGCAGGCAAATAGCTGCTTCTCAAATGCTTCACTTGCTGGCTGGAGGATCCAGTGAACTTTGCCTGAAATGTTGCCAGCGGGTTTGCCAGATGGCATTTTGCTCTATTTATCATTCCTTTCATGTTTATAGCTGTAGGAAAGAGTAGGGGGTGTCAGGACTGAGCTGATGGGCCAGCTAAGAAAGAGACTGGAAAAGGACCTTTGGATTTAGCAACAACTGGAGGCTACTGGTGCCCTTGGGAGCATTTCAGAGGAGCTTAATTGGAGTCTGTTCAAGAACAAATAGGAGGAAAGAAATTGGAGAAAGAGTTCAAAGAGCTCTTTCAAGGAGTTTTCTATAAAGAATAAAGTCTGTGGGTTGTGGGAATTCCCTGGGGGCCCAGTGGCTAGGATTCGGCACTTTCACTGCCATGGCCTGAGTTCAGTCCCTGATTGGGGGACTAAGATCCCATAAGCTGCACAGTGTGGCCCAAAAGTAAAATAAGTAAATAAATAAAGTCTGTCGGTTGTGTTCAAGCAGGGATTAATTTTTGCTCTTCTCTGCTAGAGCTGTATCCCACCAGTCTTCCAGTGCCACGTGCAAGAGCCTTGAGAGATACAGTGCAAGAAGCCAGGCAGATATAAGTTCTCTGGTTTAACAGCTAGGCTAGATCTTGTCTGGGTTTTTCTGTTCCCTTTGCCTTGAACTCTTTGCACCAGGGCTCCTCCTGATCAGAGCTCTCTGGGCCCTGTCTTTCCACTTTAGGTGGAGGAGAGGGAAAGGTCCCGTCTGATTGTTCCTTCAACTCAGGGTGGAACCCTCCCGGTCATGTGGGTTCTATCACTTTCCTTTTCAAGCTCGATGCACACTAGGATGACTTTCCTGAGCTTGGAGTAGGGAGGATGTATCCACGTTACCTCATTTAAAAAAAAGTTTTTTTTATTAGAGTATAGTTTCTTTACAATGTTGTGTTACTTTCTGCTGTAGAGCAAAGTGAATCAACTGTACATATATCCATGGACCCCCTCTTTTTTGCCATTTAATTAAAACCTTTGCCTATGTCGTTACCTATAGCGATGCTGTGATGACTAAAAACACTGTAAACGTTGGCTTTCCTCCATCCTCCCATCCCACTCGCTATCTTACCTCTCAGTTTTACTTATGAAACCTTGTCTCCTCTCTGGTTTGCTTATATGTTTGACTTTCTCTCTCTTTCCTTCCTGGTATTGTGACCGGAGATTCTTAGTTCCCCTCTGCTACCTAATGTCCTGGAGGAACATATCTAAACTGGGTCAGTTTGTATTGGGCCTCTTGCTGTCTCTGGTGATTGTACTTGTTGGAAACTTCCACTAGATTTTCACTTGAAAAAAATTATCCCACTAAACTGCATGTTTTTGTTATGATGATTGAATTGTAGAGGAGCAGTCAATCATAGGGCAGGAGGAGAAGGGGGCGACAGAGGATCAGATGGTTGCATGGCATCACCAAATCAATGGACATAAGTTTGAGCAAGCTTTGGGAGATGGTGGACAGGGAAGCTTGGTGTGCCGTAGTCCATGGTGTTGCAAGGAGTCGGACATGACTTAGCAACTGAACAACAACAAATAGGTCTGAAATAAGCAGAATAGGGCAGTAACTCTCTTTTCATCTTTCCTTTCAGCTCTTCATTCACAAAGAAACTGATATGTAGGTATATGTTGTGCCCTGCAAGTTCTGGCCTTCTATCTTGTGTTCTTTATCTAAATGTAGGTCTTCATGGTATCCACTGGAATGCTTGAGTATTTTGTGTGTTTTGACTTGTAGCTGGTTTGTAATACCTCTCATAAGTTTGTGTAGGTGCTGTGTTTTTATTTTTAGTTCAGGAATTATTTTCTTGTGTTTATCTCAGAGGAGTCATGATGGTGGTGAATTTAGTGGGCCTATTTTTCCCTTCAGTAGGGTTTATCTTTTGAATCCTAGTTTTTGTATTTAAGTTTGCGCTGCTTGAGGATCACAGGATTATTCTTCTGCTTCAGAGAGCACATTAATGTAGTTATTAAGCTATATTTTTTTCCCAGAGCAACATGCATAATTGATAAGATTGGTAGTGACTTGTTCACGCGTGACTTGTAGAATAATACATGTTCTTTTATTTTAATGTGAGTTTCAGTTAACTTTGTTAGGGAAAACTTAAGTGAACTTCCATATACCATTATCCAGCCTTAACAATTTTGATTCATGCCTGTTATCTTGTTTCAGTTATACACCCACCCGTGTCTGCCCCTCCACTCTCCTTTATCACTGGATTTTTTTAGAGCACGTACCTAATGGTCATTTTGCTTACAGAATTTTAATATGTATATCTTAAAGAAAAGGGCTATTTTAAAAAAAAAATTGCCATAGTAGCATTAATACAAGTTTCAATGAAAAGTATTGAAGATAATTCCTTAATGGCATCAAATTAACAGCCAGTGTTTGCATTTTCCCAGTCTGGTTTTTCACAGTTCATTTGTTTGAGTCAGGTTTCACATGAGGTCTGTACATTGCATGCAATTGGTCTGTCTTAAATTCCCTCGACGCCATAGTTCTCCCTCCCCACTCTCTGCTTTTTTTCCTTCTAGTTTCTTTGTGAGGAAACAGAATTATTTGTTTTAGGCACACGCTCTTTCCTTCTCTCTTCCACCATTCCCTCCCCCAAACATGTCACAGGTAGAATTGCAGACCCTGCTTATTTAACTTCTGTGCAGAGTACATCATGAGAAACGCTGGGCTGGAAGAAGCACAAGCTAGAATCAAGATTGCCGGGAGAAATATCAATAACCTCAGATATGCAGATGACACCACCCTTATGGCAGAAAGTGAAGAGGAACTAAAAAGCCTCTTGATGAAAGTGAAAGAGGAGAGTGAAAAAGTTGGCTTAAAGCTCAACATTCAGAAAACTAAGATCATGGCATCTGGTCCCATCACTTCATGGGAAATAGATGGGGAAACAGTGGAAACAGTGTCAGACTTTATTTTTTGGGGCTCCAAAATCACTGCAGATGGTGATTGCAGCCATGAAATTAAAAGACGCTTACTCCTTGGAAGGAAAGTTATGACCAACCTAGACAGCATATTAAAAAGCAGAGACATTACTTTTTCAACAAAGGTCCATCTAGTCAAGGCTATGGTTTTTCCAGTAGTCATGTATGGATGTGAGAGTTGGACTATAAAGAAAGCTGAGCGCCGAAGAATTGATGCTTTTGAACTGTGGTGTTGGAGAAGACTCTTGAGAGTCCCTTGGACTTCAAGGAGATCCATCCAACCAGTCCATCCTCAAGGAAGTCAGTCCTGGGTGTTTGTTTCAAGGACTGATGTTGAAGCTGAAACTCCAGTATTTTGGCCACCTGATGCAAAGAGCTGACTCATTTGAAAAGACCCTGATGTTGGGAAAGATTGAGAGCAGGAGGAGAAGGGGACAACAGAAGATGAGATGGTTAGATGGCATCACTGACTCAATGGACATGAGTTTGGGTAAACTCGGGGAGTTGGTGATGGACAGGATACCTGGCATGCTTGGATACCCTTGCGGTTCACGGGGTCGCAAAGGGTCGGACACAACTGAGCGACTGAACTGAACTGAATCAGGAAGCAGCATTGTCTGAATTCTCTTTCTGTGGAACCTGCAGCCATTGGTATTCATCACCCACATAAAGTCACTAGAGGTGGCAAGAATGTTTCTAAAATAACTTATATACTTATGGAATAAATTATCACTTCATTCTACTTTTTTTTCATGAAGCTTTTGTTCTGTATTAAATAGATAAGTATCAAATTGGATGTATTATCCACTTAATTTTTACTCTTTTTAGGAAGAGTCTCTACCAAAGTCTTCTTCACTCTTTTTGCCCTGCTTGGCCTCTTCATCTGTTTCTTTGGACACAGATTCTGGAAAACAGGTATTTTGTCTAATATAGTTGCTACTTATGTGCCTTGTAGTTTTTTGTTTTTTTCCTGAAATGCTTCTGGGGAGTTTATGACCTGTAAGGAGAGTAATCAACTGGTTATCTCCCACTATTTTCATTGATTTGTAGCTGGGGTCTTTTAGTAAACATTTTACTGAATTACAATGCATTTCAATTTTTTCTCTTTTCTCCACTAGGGAGTGAAAACTCTTCTTATTAAGCAGGGTATAACGTTTGATTTGTGCATCCACCTTTATCAATTGCTAGAATGACTAGTTGACCAATGATTACTAATTAGAAATCAGAATGTCTGTATACAAAATATATGTGGATTTTGGTGATGGTGATGGACATGGTTTTGCACAAATCAGGCTGCAGTGCACAGTGAGGTTGAAATGTCTGCAGAACCCTGGGAGGTTCAAACAGCAAATGGGAACTCCACAATCTGTTCAGTGAAACCCAGTGAAGCAAGGAGAATATGAAATGTGCTTGTTAAATTGACTTGAATTCTTTGGATTACCTTTTATATAACTAACATTTGCATGAGTGCTTAGTCACTCAGTCAGACATGACTGTAGCCCGTCAGGCTTCTCTGTCCATGGGATTTCCAAGTAAGAACACTGGAGCGCGTTGCCATTTCCTCCTCCGGGGGTCTTAACTCTCTTGTGTTTCCTGCATTGCAGATGGATTCTTTACCCATTGAGCCTAATGTTTGTAGTTACTAAAAAAAAAAAAAAATGAATCCTTCATGTAACTCATTAACAGGGGCTATACTGGTATAACAAGGGGAGAATGAATGTAATCCTGATCTTAGAAAACTGTTTGAACTGATAAATTATTTGAAACAGCAACTCCCTTTCCCTCTATTGCTACCTTTTTTATCTTGATTGAGAAGAGAATATTGTGAAGAATATTTAATTGCTCAAAATGTAGAATGATCCTGTAGTACAGAATTTAATTGTTAAGCTGTATGTAGAGTTTTAAAAGATACTACTAGGTTTTTATGGTTAAAGACATAGTCGATGTTCATATTAAACGAGAGGATGAATTAAAAGAAGACATAAAAGTTACATTTTGCTTTGGAATATATTTTTTTTAACCTTTCAAATTCTATTTTTGCTCATGTAATGAAGGGCTCCCAGGTGGCGCTTCCACCTGCCAATGCAGAAGTCACAAGAGATGTGGGTTCAATGCCTGGGTTGGGAATATCCCCTGTAGTAGGAAATGGCACCCCACTCCAGTATTCTTGCCTGGAAAATTTCATGGGCAGAGGAGTCTGGCAGTCTGCAGTCCATGGAGCCACAAAGAGCAGGGCATGGTTGAGTGACTGAGCACAATGAACTGAAATCTAGTGTGTAATTTCAGATCAGACACAATAACAAAAGTACTATTTTTGTTTTAAATCAGAACTATAAATATATTAAACCAAGCTATGAAATTAACAATTAACTGATCAATCAAAACTGACCTATATACAAAAAATGTATCCAATAGTTAATACTTAATTTGTACCCATTTAATAAAAATATTTACTCCCAATGACTTCTGAATTTTCCTGCCTTTTAGATAATTATTTCTTTTCTTTGAATGCCCTCTTGTATACATTCTGGGAACTGAAGAATGGATTTGTAGATTAGACATTTAAATTGCATTTACTAACTGTAGTTTTTTTTTTTTTTTTTTTGCTTTCTTGGTGGTCTGCTACTAGAACTGTTCTTTATAGGCTTTATCTTCATTGGATTCTTCTTTTATATACTGATTACAAGACTGACACCTATTAAGTATGATGGTAAGTGAACATAAGATAGTTTGATGAAGGTTCAAAAAGCAAGGTGCTGTGTTTGCACCCAGCATCCCTTGTATAGTGTGACCAGTACTGAGTGTGTTATCCTCTTCTGTGTGTAAAGTAACTGGCCACCTATGCTCTACACATCTTTTCTGAACTCCTTCAGACCTTCTCTCCAGGGTTTTTAATCTGCATGGAGAATTCCTTGGTACTCAGGGAAATGAAGGGCCATGTGGATTATAAGCCTGTGTTCCAGCTATGTGGTATATTGACAATATGACATTTACAACAATCAGAGTGTTAGGATTTTCTTTACCTCAAAACAAACCCAACCCTCCTTCCTTGTCATGTTGAACAGAGTGCCTCTCACCCCTTCTTCCACAGTCCCAGGTGGAGGTTGTCCCAGACCATGCCTGTCACTCATCTTCAGATGAGCTCCCCGGGTTTCCAGTCTCAGACCCTCCCTAGAGAGGGCCTTCCCGTGCTGATTTCATGGCACTGCTGATGCCCCCTTGGTGCCCGACCCAGAGAAAGGCTAGTCTAGTCTAGTGTTGGTANCTGATCCGATCCACAGGTAAATTTGGCACTACCCTCATGGCAGCTGAGCCAGGGAGCCTGATGTTCTGTTGCCAGTCTTCCCTTGGACCCCTAACCCCTGCTCCCACCCTTTGCAAGCCCTGAGTGTTCCTGAGATACCTTCTTGTAGTCATCCTAGCGCAGTAGCACAAGGGATGGTTTGGGGGATTCTAAATTATTCAGTTTCTATCCATTAAAAAAATCTGCTTAATGTGTAGGTTAACTCCCTTTCATAGGGGAGGAAAGATTTTCCTTTTAGCCTTCTAGGTTCTTTGGCTGCTCTAATAATTCAATTGACATCGGACAGATTAATAGGAGAAAAACAAATTTAATTCTGTACCACTGGAGTCCCATAAAAACAGAAGACTCAAAGGCAGTCAGGCAGTTGAAGCTTCTCTGCCATCCTGAGCTAAGAATTCAGATGGAGTCTGAGGCTTCAGAGAGGAGGAGGGCAGTTCACAGGAACATAAGACGGGCAGGTGGTAATCAGATGTCTGCCATTGCAGATATAAAGCTGTCTCTGGTAATTGCTTTCATTCTGGGCCAGGCCTGTGATCTAAATTCTTTTAGGCAGTAAAGGGAGAGAAAAGTTTCCCCCAAATCTGCTGGGTCTTGATTGCCTTCAGCTCAAAATAACCTACATGCCAAAGGGGCCCATTTTGGGGTGCCCGTTCTGCTCCCCTTCACTTTATAGTTGTATGATAATTTACATTTCTTCAATGGTAAAAAATCCTCCTGCTAGTGCAGGAGAGACAAGAGATGTGGATTCAATGCCTGGGTCAGGAAGATCCCCTAGAGAAGGAAATGGCAACCCACTCCAATATTCCTGCCTGGAGAATCCCATGGCCAGAGGAGCCTGGCGGGCTACAGTCGATGGGGTCACAGAAGTCAGGCACAACTGAGGACGCTTAACACTATACATAAAATAGATGAACAACAAGGACTTCCTGTATAGCACAGGGAACTCTATTCAGTATTTTGTATTAACCTATAATGGAAGATCCTTCAAAAAAGAAGTATGTGTGTGTGTGTGAGTGGGTGGGTGGGTGTATAGCTGAATCAGTTTAACATGACATTATTAATTAATTATATTTCAAGAAAAAATAAAATTTTAAAAAAGGGTATCTATGGTCGGAAGTACTCTACTAGGCTATTTTCTTCTTCTCATAATGTTTAGTTCTTATATTAAAAATTTTTTAAACCAGAAAGAATTGGTGACCTGTATGTTTACTGACAATTCCAAGGCCCTTCACTCTGATTTTAGAAAACCTATAGCCAAGTTCATTCCAGGCCCCCTTACAGGTGGCTCTTTATCTACCTGCAAAGTGGCATTGTTTAGATTTGGCTAAATCACAGACTCTCAGGGATGTTTATTGAAAATGCAGATTCAGAACTCTACTCTAGAAGTGCTAAACCAAATACTATTTAATGAGCTTCCTTTTTGTTAATGTTTAGAAGATGGAGGGATGGTGGGTTGGAATCTTTTGTAGTTAATGTGTTGAACTGTCTTATTTTTAGTAGTTAATATATGAACTATCTCATCACTCAAGGACATTTAGGGTAAGTGTGACCTTAATTAGAGTGGGCGCAAACTCATATTTCTAAGCACTAAAATTTGGAAAAGATTTGGTTGACTTCTAGACTTAATGAAATTACTGTTTTCACTTTATTATGTGTCCTCTGAATGGGTCAGTCTTCTCATGCTTGGCATCATAACTACTATTGTTAATCTCTTGTATTCCTTTTTTTAAAGTCACATGTGCATGTTGTGAAGGATAGCATAGGTGAACTGGAGATATGATCCATCCATTCACCCCACTGAAGCATGTTGCAGTTTGCTTTCTGAGAACATGGGGTCTCCAGGTCAGAGCCCCTCACTATGGACTTCCAGCTCTTTCAGGATACGTGGGTCTCAAGATACAGGGACATCTCCAGTTGGACTGAGGGATGGTGCCAGTGTCAGTATTAAATAATTGTCAGATTTGCATTTTTGTTATTGAAACATAATTTATAATAGGAGTTCTAATATATCCATCCTGGGTCACCCCAAGATGCACTGCACTTTAGAGAAGGGTTTAGTATGATGGATTAGCTCACATCTTAGCTAAATGATTAGCTCACATCTTTCCTGATGCCTGAGAAAAAGTCACATCTTCCAGTGTACAGTGGATAAACAGGAAATGCATTGATGGTCAAAATCTGCTAAACAGAGTTTGCTCCTTATATGGGACTTCATATATCATATGATGACTCTGAATGCCACTTATATTTTTTACTTCACAGTATAAAATCAGGGAATTATAGAAATTTATAGCTAGAAGGGATGATTTGAAGCTTGGAGATAAAGTGGTTCAACCTTTTCATTTTAAGGATCAGGAAACAGGCCCAGCATCACATCTGGTGAATGATAGAGCTTGGACTAGTCCAGCCTCTTCTAAGTTATCCTGTAATAAATGCAGAGCATTACCTGCTTGATTTTTCCTCCTACCCCTTTACCTTCTTAGGACACATCCTTCAAAGAAGATTGTATTGATTGATAGTTAAGTGAAAAGAAATCAGTTCATTTCATAGTGCCTGTTTGTTACATTAAAGCTTCAGGATATGTCTATGTTCACATGTTGAGAAAATGAAATTTCACTTGGTGAACCTGTTGTTTACTCTTGATTTCTTTCTGCTTTTCCAGGAAACCTAAAGATTTTCCGTGTCGATGCAGTATTCTGGGTGACCTTCTCTTGTATAGCCATTTTCATTCCGGTGGTTTTCATGGGCTGCTTAAGAATAGTAAGTGTTTCATCAGGTCTGGATATTCACCCTATTTTCCTGGGCCTTCCTTTTTTCACTTATTGCATCATTTTGCATTTCTGTTCATTAGAGCTGTCTCTCTGTATCAGATGATGCATTTTGAATAGCCTTGTTACCGTGAAAGCAAGAGAAGTTCTTGTTACAATGATCACATTATTTTTTCCAATAAGTGGTGCAGGTCATCACACTTCTAACAGCAGGAGCAGAGAAGGTAGGGTTTACGGTGATGCAGCCATCTGATGGATTGTTCATTTCTGCTGTCTCTCCAGGAGATTCTTCATCTACTTAGAATTTATTATTGAAGTTATTTCAGAGGGAAGACCTTTTCTATGATGAGGGAAACTGTTTTATGAACCACAGGTGTTGAAAGTTGTTTTCAGTTTTTTTTTCATAATTTTATTTATTTATTTTCCAGCCAAAATAAATTTAAGAAAGCACTGGGTCTTCATTGCTGCAAGTGGGCTTTCTCTAGTTGCGGTGAGCAGGGACTTCTTGTTGCAGCGTGCAGGCTTCTGACTGCACTGGCTGCTCTTGTTGCTGAGCACAGGCTCTCAGACACTTGGGCTTCAGTAGTTGCGACATGTGGGCTCAGTAGTTGAGGTTCCCGGACTCCAGAGCACAGGCGCCATAGTTATGGTGCATGGGCTTGGTTGCTCCAAGGTATATGGGATCGTCTTAAATCTGGGATTGAACCTGTGTCTCCTGCATTGGCAGGTGGATTCTTTACCACTGAGCCACCAAGGAAACCCGCAGTTTATCTTTTCAGGTAACCTTTATTCAGTTCTAAGATCTGGCCCCTTTTCGTACGCCGCGAAGGAGCAGGAGTGATTCCCTGCTCCTCAGGGTTGAGGCCAGTGATGAAAGCTATAAAAACTACTATTGTTCTACCAGAGGTGATGCCTGAACACTTCTGCTTTTCCACAGCTGAACATACTGAGTTGTGGATTCATTGGCTCCTATTCGGTGGTCTTGGCCGTGAACAGTTACCTGTATACAAGCCTTTCTTACATCACTTTGAACATACTCAGGAGAGCACTCCATGTGGATTTCCGCAGAGCTTTCATGAATGTGCCTTTTCAAACGAATGGTAAGACTAAATCCAAGAACCAAGTGATAGTCAGGTAGGAATATTGGCTTACCTGTGCTAACAAGAGCTCTTATAACCAGACTGAAAGAAGGTTAACGGGACATAACGAGGAAATTCACACCATTCAGATGCTATTAGAGCCCTGTGTTAATGATTACTTTTTAGGAGCAAAGAATTTAAATTTGTAAGGTGGATGAAATTCATACTTCTGAAAATCTAATAAATGAACTTATTAAGAAATTTCTAAACCAGGATTACTAAGGTTTATCTAGTCATTCCCAGTGGTCAGAAAAATGCTGAGAATAAAGCTGTTTGGCACCTTATGAGTTGAGGATAGGGTGAAGGGTGAGAAGGACAACCTGATTTTTTAAGTTATTCCCTTGTTTCCTTCCTATGAAGAAGCACATAATTTGCTAATAAAAAGAGAAAGTGGTTTTTAATCAGTAGTTGTGTTTTTCCACAATTGTAACAGTTTACCCATAAAGATTTTCCATTAAGTTTTTGAAGGAAAAAAAAAATGACTACTAAATCAAATGTTCACAAAGATAGCAAGATATGTTGGTTTCAGAGTGTTAAAGTAGAGAGGATGGTAAACAAGACTTAGAATCGAAGGTATAGAAGCATGATTGCAATTGTTATGAATATTTAAGGTCAGCTCTTTCCCTCTGCTATCCTGAACCTGCCCTCATTGTTTAAGAGGTTGATGGTAGAGACCTTGAAATCCACGGGTTGTGGAAGTTTCAATATTTGGCCAAACCTTTTACTGGAAGCTCAGTACAGTTTGTTGAATCTCTTCATGCATTTCTAGATCTACTCTATATGAGTGGGGTGGGGTCCCATATAGGATGGAGTGGGAAAAGAAGAGCCTGGTGGTATCTGATGTTCCACGTTGTATGTCCGTGAGATCACTGTCTTTCCTCTCCACTCTGGAAAAACACAGCAAACAACTCTGCCTGTGAGCACTATGCCTGTAGTCATAAAATACTGGAATGCCAAGGCTCTGAACAACTGATTCCTTTATAACTCTGTGTGGACTTTCAAATGCCTGTAATAGGAAATTCCTATCTTGAAATGTAAGACCATAGTTTCTTTGCTTATTCCCTGGCTTGTAAGTGAGGAAATACACATGTATTTGGACATACTCACCAAAAAGTGTAGTGTTAACTGAGAAAAGATGATACAGATTGAGGCTATAAAATGTTGTCTTAACATCTGTGCTAGGTTTTAAAATACAAGAGTTCAAACTGTGCTTCTCTACTGTCCTGTAGACTTTATTATCCTGGCAGTATGGGGGATGCTGGCTGTAAGTGGAATTACGCTACAGATTCGAAGAGAAAGAGGGCAGCCGTTTTTCCCTCCCCACCCGTACAAGTTATGGAAGCGAGAGCGTGAGCGCAGAGTGACGAACATCCTGGACCCCAGCCACCACATCCCTCCACTGAGAGAGCGACTCTTCAGCCGATTAGCCCAGATCAAAGGGCTCTTCCAGAAGGAACAGCCGGCGGGAGAGAGAACGCCCCTGCTTCTGTAGATGCCAGAACGCTTGGTCAGGGCAATCTAGAAGTACATCCCAGGTACCGTCTCATGTTCGGTGTTGCTGCCCGGCTGCTTCCACAGTCTCTGGGGCAAGTCTGCTAAGGACCGGCTCTGCATCTGTGCTTTGTACTGCAGTACTGTGGTCTCTTTATTGAGAGAGGGTAAGGGCATGCCTGGGAGATGACAGTCATTCTAAGTGTGAAAGGTGGTCATAATGTTGATGGTAAGAAGGTTTTTCTTTATTACCAAATGCTTAAGAAATTACATTTTTGGTTTATAAGTTATGTGTCAACTTACTCCATTAAGTAGATACACTTTTAAAAAAAGAAATTAAAAATTAATGGTTGTTCTGTAAAGCCATGGTGGGTTTTTGTTTTTGTTTTTGTTTCTTTTTGTAACTCCTTGAACAATTCTCTCACCGAAGTCTGGCTAAACTTGGGGACCAGGCATAGAGGGCAGTTTTATTTAAATAAATTTTTATTTGCCACTGTGTTTGTAGTTTTGGGGGTTTGGTACTGCACCTTTGAACTTCAGAGTACAAAGGAGGGAGAACTAACTTATTTTCTGACTACAAGCAATCTGATTACTGAGTTGCACATAAATATCATATATTATCAAAAATTACCCTTTTGTTTATCTTTGTGATAAAATACATATTTACCCTATCGATCATTTTTAAGTGTATATATAGTTCAGTTGGTTCCCCTCATCTTTGCCTTTTATTGCTTAAAATGGTAATTTAAATAGCTGAAATATTTCAACCATTTGAAAAGAGGTCAATTTATATAGATGATAAAGCTCTTATATGGATGACTTATTTATATTCCAGATAAAAAGTGACTTTTTTTCCTTTCAAAACCTTTTAAGATAGTTTTGACAGCTGATTTCTAATTTAAACTGCATTCAGTGACATATAAATTGTTTTATTTTGGGGAGATAAACTGGCTCCTAGCTTCATCTATAGTCCCATTAATAAGGAAACCTTTAAAATATTTGCATTTTATAGTCCTCTCTGCTAAATTAGTTGTTAGAGCATTGGTACAATTTCAAAAATTTCAGTATGAAGTCTTTGTCCTATCAGTGTTGTAAATTGATGAGGAGAGAAAAAGGACTTAGGTGTTGAATAGAGCTGCTTTCAATGAGGCCCTTGGATTCTGTAAGGAGAGTCCCTTCAGTTCTGATTTTGTTGCGCCAAAAGAAAGAACCCAGATGCGCTGGGCTGCATCCTTGCTCCTCATGGCCTCTAACAACTGTCAAGAGTCTCCGCCAGGGTTCTACCTTGTATCTGAAGCTGGTGACTGAGATGCCTGAGTGGCTGTGAGGTTAGTTGTGGTTGTCCTCCTCCTATTTGTGAGTTAACCACTATTTAAATGATGCTGCTTTTACAGGTTTTTCAATATACAATAGGTTTTTGACGCTTCCAGTAACTGGAAACTTTTCAGTTTTGCTCTTAAAAGTGTTATGGAAAGGCTGAAACAAAATGAAAAAAAATGTATAATAATTTCTTGCATTGAAAAATTAAATTACACAGGTGTTTATTTACTATTTATTTTGTAATCTTCACTGTTTATATAACTTCAAAAAACACTTGAAGGAAAAAAATGTGGTTTTTTTTTATGATTCACCATAGAGATTCTGTATTCTGCTATATCATAAATTCTAACAAAGTGACATGGAATATTTGTGTTTTTTTTCTATACCATCAAAATGTCTGCCAGTAAATATTATAAAGACAAAATATACTTTCTTGGAGGGGGGAGACAAATTGTTTAAAATTTTTCATGATAATTTGTGAGTAATAAGCCAGTTTGTTTAATTTTTTAATAATAAATACCTATTTTGAAAAAATCAAAAAAGTCTCATTATTATAAAATTCTTATAAAATTTTTTACCAACTGTATTTGTACAAAAGTAATAAGACATGAGGACAGTTTCATAGCTATAAACACAAAATTATTTAAGTTGGACAAATAATTCTTTATTCCAAAAAATCAGTTAAATAGAAACAGACTCACAGACTTAGAAAATAAATTTATGGTTGTGGGATGGTGTGGGGGTGGGGGATGGGAAGGGTGAAGGGGAAGTATAGTTCGGGAGTTTGAGATATACATGTACACAGTGCTATATTTAAAATGGATAACTGGCAAGGACCTAGTTTATAGCACAGGGAACTCTGTTCAACATTCCGTAACAACCTAATTGGGATAAGAATTTAAAAAAGGATACATGTATATGTTAAAAAAAAATCAGTTTAAGCATAAATGAAATGATAGGAAATGAAGGAAATCTGGGGTAATGTGTTAAAGTTTATATCCTTTATTAGAAGGAAAGCTGTTGTCTTTAATGCATTAGTTTGTGTTGATGTCATTAGTACTTTAGTTGTGTCAAACAAAAAAATAATAGTGTTGTCAGAAACTTGTTTCTACCATTTAAATGTTTTAGTTCTGATTAACCTATTATGGATTAGCTATTAGGTTGCCAAACCACAGCAGCTAACCAGTGCTACAGACCTGTTGAGTTCTATATAAAGTGGGATAGAAAAGTGATTCTAACGAAGAAATTGCTACAATGTTAGAGCAGGAATGGACTTTAGATACAATGTTATCTGACCTTAAACATGTAACCACTTATTTTGTACTTGAGGAAATTCTTAAGGAGTAAATTATATAAAGTCACAGTTATCAAATAATAGTGCCCAGAGCAAAACTTGAGAACTCCCTATCCAAATGTGCTTTACACTCTTATTGTGGTGAAAACGTGAATCACTGATTTTTTTTTCAATTTTCTTCTGTTGTTAGTGAATTCTTAGAAAGCTCCTGTGCTCCTAATATTACCATGATCTCTTCTGGGAAGGTGTTAATTTTACACAGTGAAAACATGTTTTTCCAAGTTACAGTCATGGACCATTTTATATTCATTATAAAGTATATAATAGATATTTAGTTTCCAATTCCATAAGTATTTCACCACAGCAGCATTTGTAGTGAATTTTTTGGTTATCAAGTTCACTCCTTGATGATGTACTTGATACCTGTTGTTAACCTTCATTAAAACCCCAGAATTCTTGCTCTCATTTCCTGAAAACTCTAGGCTTTCCCACTGTGATCCAGTCCTTAGGAGCAAGGCTGCCTGTGTTTTCCTTTTTGGCATGCATGGAATTGTGCCACCCACCCAAAAATTATATGTTGAAGCCCTCACCTGCCAGTATTTCAGAGTGTGACTGTATTTGGAGAGAAGTGAAAAGTGAAAGTGTTAGTTGCTTAGTCATGCCTGACTCTTTGTAACTCCACAGACTGTAACCCACAAGGCTCCTCTATCCATGGGATTCTCCAGGCAAGAATCCTGGAGTGGGTTTCCATGCCCTCCTCCAGGGGATCTTCCTGACCCAGGGATCGAACCCAGGTCTCCTACAGTGCAGGGTTCTCCCACACTGCAAGCAGATTCTTTACCGTCTGAGCCACCGGGGAAGCCCATTTGGAGAGAGGGCTTTATAAAGGAGTTAACCGAGCTTCCCTGGTGGTTCAGAGGGTAAAGAATCTGCCCACAATGCGGGAGGCCCCGGTTTGATCCCTGGGTCGGGAGGATCCCCTGGAGTAGGAAACGGCAACCCACTCCACTATGCTTGTCTGGAGAATTCTGTGGACAGAGGAGCCTGGTGGGCTACAGTCCACGGGACTGCAAAAAGTCGGACGTGATTGAGTGACTGTCACTTAGGTGAAAATGAGGCCATCAGAGCGAGCCCTTAATCCAATCTGAAAAAGATTAGAACATACTAGAACCCTGGGACAGAGTAGGTGTGAGCACACAGTGAGTGTGGCCATCAGCCAGCAAAAGAGAGCGGCCTCGGACGAAACATGCCTTGCTCTTGAACTTGCAGCCTCAGAACTGAGAAAGTTTCTGATGTGATGCCGCCCGGTCTATGGGGTTTTTGTTATGGCATCCCTGGCAAATGACTACACCTTACAAGTCCATTTATCCTGCTTGTTGACTGGAAGACACCTGTGCAGTCTGGCTACGTTTGCAAGGACCACTCTATGCAACTGAGGTAGAGAGGGGCTCAAGTTAGTGGAAACTTGGACTCGTTAGGAACCCTATAATCACGGCACTGTGGAGGCTGGCAGTTCTGGATCAAGTTACATCAGCACCAGGGGCAAAATTTTAAAAATTGTAATACCATAATACTCTGATTTGGACCTCACCTTCACTCATCCATGCAATATTTTGTTACATTCCTAAGTGCCAAGCATTGGCAAAAATCAGGCCCAGTCCCTGCTTCAGGGCTTAGCGTGTGATGAGGCAGACACTAAAATAGTTATCCAAAAGAAATACAATATGCAATGGAAATTTACTATGGAATTGGAGGTAGAATCTCTGATGCCTGGGAAGAATTCCTTGAGGAAATGACATTTAAGTGGAGACCTGGAGGAGGATCTTCATTTTTGAACGTTGAATTTTAAGCTAGCCTTTTCACTCTCCTCTTTCACCCTCATCAAGAGGCTCTTTAGTTCTTCTTTACTCTCTGCCATAAGGGTGGTGTCATCTGTGTATCTGAGGTTATTGATATTTCTCCTGGTAATCTTGATTCAAACTTGTGCTTTATTCAGGCAGTATTTCACATGATGTAACCTGTGCATAATTTAAATAAGCAGGGTAACAACACACAGCCTTGACATCCTCCTTTTCCAATTTGGAACGATGGTTCTATTTCCAAATAGAACGGTGGTCCTAACTATTGCTTCTTGACCTGCATACAGGTTTCTCAGGAGGTAGGTAAGGTAGTCCCATCACTTCATGGCAAATAGAAGGGTAAAAAATGGAAAGAGTGACGGACTTTAATTGGGCTCCCAAATCACTGCAGATGGTGACTGCAGGCATGAAATTAAAAGACGCTTGTTTCTTAGAAGGAAACATGATGAACATAGACAGTGTATTAAAATGCAGAGACATCATTTTGCCAGTAAAGGTCCATATAGTCAAAGCTATAGTTTTTCCAGTAGTCATGTATGGTTGTGAGAGTTGCACCACTATAAAGAATGCTGAGCACTGAAGAATTGATGCTTTCAAACTGTGGTGTTGGAGAAGACTCTTGAGAGTCACTTGGACAGCAAGGAGATCCAACCAGATAATCCTAAAGGAAATCAGTCCTGAATACTCATTGGAAGGACTGATGCTGAAGCTGAAGCTCCAATACTTTGGCCACCTGATGCAAAGAGCTGACTCATTAGAAAAGAGCCTAATGCTGGGGAGGATTGAAGGCGGAAGGGGATGACAGAGGATGAGATAGTTGGATGGCATCACTGACTTCATGGACATGAGTTTGAGTAAACTCTGGGAGATGGTAAAGGACAGAGACGCCTGGCTTCTCTGTCTGCAGTCCATGGGATCGCAAAGAGTCGGACATGACTCAGTGACTGAACAACAACAGCTGGAAGATGAGAGCTTCCCTGGCGGCTCAGATGGTAAAGAATCTGCCGGCAATGTGGGAGACTCGGGTTTGATCCCTGGGTTGGGAAGATCCCCTGGAGAAGGGATGGCAACCCACTCCACTGTTCTTGCCTGGAGGATCCCATGGACAGGGAAGCCTGGTGGGCTACAGTCCATGGGGTCACAAAGAGTTGGACATGGCTGAGCAACCAACAGTTTCGCTTTCACTGGAAGATGAGTTAGGACCACAAGGAGGCACAGTGCATTCCATGTAGTAGAGGAAAAGCATGAACAAAGCCTGGAGGCCTTCCCTTCTCATTTTGGAGATGCCCCAGTGGAGTCTCACTTGTATGCCCACCACTCACGATAGCCCTTCATTTTGGTGCTTGGCAGAATCAGCTCTCCCATTCTCTGCTCTTGTCATTTTGAACAGCTGATCCAGACAGGATGTTGTCATTTTTTTTTTAATCGAGTTACAATTGATATATAACATTGTTATATATAACATATATATATATATAAGTTGAAGGTGTACCTTCAACATATAAATTGAAGGTGTACCATATGCTGATTTAATACATTTATATATTACTATCTAATTATCATTAGAGCATTAACTAACATCTCTATCTTGTCACATAATTATCATTTCTTTTTTGTGGTGAGAAGTTAAGATTTCATTTATCAGCAACTTATAATATTGCTGACTATAATCATTATGCTGTGAATTAGATGTCCAGAATGTATCTATTTACCTTCTCATTGTAAGTTTATACCATTAAACATTCTCCCCAGCTCCCCTTCCCCCTACCCCTGGTAACCACCATTCTACTCCTGTTATTAGGAGTTTGGCTTCATTAGATTCCACAGATAAGTAGTACCATAGTTGTTTGTCTTTCTCTGCTGACTTATTTCACTGAGCACAATGCTGTCAAGGGTCATCTATGTTGTCGCAAATGGCAGAATTTCCTTCTTTCCTATGGTTAAATAATATTTGATTACATACACATGCAACATCTTTGTCCATTCATCCATTGAAGGACACTTAGGTAGTTTCCCTACCTTGGCTATTGTGAATGCTGCTGCAATAAACACAGACGTAAAGATAATTTTTTTCAGTATCCTATTTTCCTTTTTGTGTGTGTGTTTGTGTGTGTATATCTAGAAGTGGGATTGCTGAATTATATG